CTCCCTCGATAAGGGAGTATTTAACCAAAAACTACCACAATTCGCGGAAACGTGACAGAAAACTACCATTTTACAATTTTGTCCCGAAAACTACCACTTTTTTATTAATCCGTGGCAAAAAACTACCAAGTGTGAAAACTGCTCGCTTTGCCTGGGTTAAACGCGAATCTGACTGCCCGACCCCACACATAAACAGGCTAAAAGTGCAATCGGGTCCCTAGTTTTTCTTCAAAAAAGCAATCGGGTCCTCCGCCTCCTTCTCCTCCTCGTCGCCGGCCTCCTCCTTCCCCAGCGGCGGAGCTCAAACGGCGGCGGAGCTCGGCTGTGCACAGGCGTGAGGTTGCGGCTGGCTAGCGAGCAAACTAAGTGGTACTACGGTTTTCTGGGAATGCTAGGAGCACACGGATGCAACGGGTTTGAGAGAGCAACTCTGGAGCATGGAGCTCGTCGGCCATGGCGGCGGCCGGAGCTCGGAGCTCGTGGAACGATGACTATGGAACCAACGCGTCGGCTAGAGCAGAGGGAAAAGAGGGGAAAGCTCACAACACATCGTATGGCGTCGGCTTCGAGGTCGGGGACGACGGGGAGGCCCTGTAGACGACGAATCGACGGTTTTGGTCTTCGGGTGCCGGCGAGGAAGACGACTTCATTCGGCTGGTGCAGTGCAGCCGCGGTCGAGTTCTTCCGTGGAGATGACCAGCGCGAGGTGGCGGAGCTTCTGGACATGACGGATGGACGGGAGATGGCCGGTGGCATCATCCGCGCAAGGAGGAGAGCTATGGCGCGGCCGCATAGGGCGGCAGCATGGGCCTCCCCGCGGCGCGAAATGCAGGCGCGACGAGCCACCGGGCGGCGGCCTGGGCATCCTCGCGGCACGTCCTGGCCGGCTCTACTCCGGCGGCGCGGCCGCTGACGGCCTGGTGCCGGACGCCGCCGAGCAGGCGCGCCTCGACGAGGAGCTGCAGGAGCGCGAGTCAGCGCGAGTCCCGCCTGCAGAACGAGTTGCGTCGTCCGCCTCCCGCTCCTCCGTGTAGGTCCAGCCGGCGCAGCTCGTCAGCGACTCTGTTGGCGATGGCAAGCGAGAGCAACGGCAAGCAGCGGCGGTGGCGGAAGCAAGCAGCAGCTGCGGACGGCAAGCGAGAGCGATGGCGAGCAGCAGCAGCAAGCTGCGGACGGCTGGGGAAGGAGGAGGTCGGCGACGAGGAGAAGGAGGCGGAGGACCCGATTGCTTTTTTAAGAAAAACTAGGGACCCGATTGCATTTTTAGCCCGTTTATGTGTGGGGTCCGGCAGTCAGATTGACGTTTAACCCAGGCAAAGCGAGTAGTTTTCACACCTGGTAGTTTTTTGCCACGGATTAATAAAAAAGTGATAGTTTTTTGGACAAAATCGTAAAGTGGTAGTTTTCTGTCACGTTTCCGCGAATTGTGGTAGTTTTTGGTTAAATACTCTCGATAAGGTCAGCAGCTAGTCGACAGCGACACATAGATAGCAGCTATAGCTCTCAGTCGCAGGTTCGAACAGTCGATTAAATTAAGCAGCTCGATTATTATTGTCTAACTAAAGTGAACGGAAGGGCGGCTCCAGTGACGATCGATCGAACAAACTAAGCAGAATAGTTCTGGACAGAAGATGATGTTACGTGCTAGCAGCAGCAGGAGCTTTCGTCGAACAATCGATCGTAGGTGACGGCAGCGTAGCACGACTTGCAGCGCGTGTGTTCCCAGCTACCGCGCGCGCGTACGTCACACGACACGAAACGGACGAACGAATAATTTCTGACGCGCTCCGGCGGCCATGCCTCTTGTTCGCCCTGCCGACCGATGGCACGTCCTGCATCGGTCGATTGCGACGTAGTACGTGCGTGTACCAGCCATTCGCATATGCATTGCATTCAACTAGTTTGATCCGTGCCGGCCAGCCGGCCGGTGTAACCACTAGCTCCGATTCCGTCCGTCGCCACTATTTTCAATTCATTCATCGCGCATACGCGCCCACGCGCATCCATGGATCCGGCCACCGGAATTACTCCCAAGGCCGGGGACGATGATGCCTCCACGTATATGGCGTGCCTCACAGGCGTGCCTCACACATCATTGCCTTTGTTAGCTACGGCAGTGTAGGGGCGTTGCATTTACGGTACGCACATGCGTAGGAAATGCAGGTCCTGAATTTATACGTACAGACAAAACCAGAGTGATGGAAAACTGTAATCTTCTTTGCAGGCAGTACGTATAAACATGTGCGTGTGTTGCAATGGAAGAGAAAAAACATATGCTCCCAGCACAATAAGCATGATTTAAGACCCCTCAACAGATCCATGTTATCTATTTTAACATAATGTCTCATCTGTGTTGTTGCTTTTTCTCCTCCATAATCACAATATCCACTTGGTCGTAATGTGCCTGAACATGGTTAATCTTCATGGTGATGATCTCGGCCACCGCCTAAACCCTAAAGCCATGGACAAATGCCACTAAACCACGTCATTGCAAATGAATGTGTAATAGCATTAGAACTAATGTCGTCAAGCTGGACATGATGGCCGCCCTTCCCAAGCTCACCTAGCCCATACATCATCCCTAGTAAGCCTACTCACTTTAAAAATTTATATATATATATATATATCAAAATGCATCAATATTGTTTTTTAAATACGTAAATACTTTTTAAATCACATGGACTTTTTAAAGAGCATAAATATTTTTTTAATTACGAAACAATTAAGCATGTGAACACGTTTTACAATTACATGAACCTTTTTTTTCAGAAAAGGATGAACTTATATGAAAATGTTTTTAATAAGTAAACAATTTTTTAAAACAACACAAACATTCTAAAATGCATGAATGATTTGAAAAAAATACATAACATTTCGAAAGGTCGAAGTACTGAACACGTAAACATAACATTTTGAAAGGTTGAAGCACTGGACACCTATCGGGCTGACGGTTGGATCCCATGTGGAATCAGAGAGCCGGGCTAAGCGTGAAGCCTAGATCGCAGACAGACTGCCCTCGGACTTTAAAATGTTTGGAGAAGGAGGAGGAGGCGGAGGTGGAGGTGGAGGTGGAACAGAAGGTGGCCATGAAGGAGGAGGAGGAGGCGGATGTGGAGGTGGAGGTGGACACGGCCATGGAGGACGTGCAATCGAAGTAGGAGCACGACGACGCGGGTGAGGCGGACCTGGTACTTCCCGCTCCGGGCTTCGGCATGCCCAAGGTGCTGGCGGAGTACGAGCTGACCTAGGCGGAGGAGGCGGCCATCCTCGGCTCCATCGAGTCGGAGGCGGGGGTGGAGGTGAACCGCCACATCCTCGGCCACCGTTGCATGGAGATTGACGAAATATTCGCCTATCTTGAGGTGGAGGAGGAGTTGCGTCAACCGGTCATCTACCCGGAGCCCGGCACAGAGATCGTGGACATATCCAACGAAAACGAGTAGTGTAGGCTAGCTTAGGTGATCTATGTAGGGCATACATTTTATTTTGCATATTTTGTACTATGAATTTAAGGTGTCAAACATGAAGTGTCCACATGCAGAGAAGAAGTAATGAGGACTACCCGATCACTGTCCGTAAACGCGTCTAGGCATGTCCGCGGACGTTTGAGGGTCTAGATAAGACCTTCTTTGGTTTAGAGAAATTTCATAGGAATTCTAGAGGATAGGATTTTTTTCCTTTAGAGCCCTTTGGTTCATAGGAATGGATTCCTATTCCTACATAGGATTGGTTCCTATCCTCCACATTTCATAGGAAAATAAAAAAAACCTAGACTCAATGAAAAAATTCCTTTGATGTCAACTAAATGACATCTTGTTTTCTATTCCTACTCATAGGATTTGAGATACATGTCATCTCATTTCCTATAAGATTCATATTCCTATGATAATCCTATCATATGAACCAAAAGAGGCCTTGGTGTTTGCGAGTGTAGATGCTCGCAGCTAGACCTGCTCTAACTTTGGGCCAAGCGAGAACCTTGGTTTGCACTTAAAGTTGAAAAAGGACCTGCATTGAATTCGCCACATGGTTAATCAGTTAAGCTAACGGCCTCTCGCTGTTGACCTGGAACACACACATACTGTCTAGTGCTAGTCTAGTGGCTTAGATATAGGACCATTTCATTTTTGTTTTGCGGGGACAGGACCATTTAGTAGCTAGGAGCACTAAACGAAGCTGTCACGCAGGTACGCGTACGTCCATAGAGTATGTTGCTACTCCATGTCCATGAAAGGAGTAGCACTGAAGCTAGGCATCGAAAGCGCTCTCTAGCTTGTCCATCTGACACCCCCATCACGTTTATTATTGATGTGCCCAAGTTGTACGACGGTGCGCTGTTCATATCTACGACGTCGTACTGCTAGCCATTGATGCGCACGAGTAAATACAGCCGAACACTCCAAATGACACTGAGAAAGTAAGCTAGCTAGTGACGGTTTGCAGCACGGAAAAGCAGGTGCAAGTAAATCGCCCGTGTCGCACGCGGTTAGCCTCCCAAAGATGTAGCAACTTGTCGTGGCATGTGAGCAGCATAGAGATGGGAGAATTACTCCAATTCTTCTTTTTCAGTTTCTTTCTCCCGGGCACCTGGTCCAACACCCAGGCCAAGATGTATCGGCTCGTCTCGTGATCCAATGTGCACGCACCGCGACGAATCGAACCATCCAATCCATGCCGAGTTACCGGGATGCTCCAAAACGATGGATTCGGTGACGTGCTTGGGCCGATCATACGGCGGCAATCTTGATCTCGATCCGGACCAACCAACGATCGCTGTTACGCCACAGTGCCACACCGACGCGACGCGACGCGCCATCTCTCCCTCGTCTCCCATTCTTTCTCTTCTCACCTACTGCGGCCGTCCCGCCATTGCCAATATAACCCGCCACCCCGCCCGAGTCCCACACACGCCCAACAGCTCCACACATCGCCACGGTCTTCTTGGCTCCTCCGTCCACAGCTAGCCAGCCCCTCCGCTCCGCTCCACCACCAGCAGCCAAATGGCGAAGCTGCTGGCGGCCGGCGTCGCGTTCCTCCTGGCCCTCGCCGCAGCGGCGGCGCTGGCCCCGTCTCCGGCCTCGGCCTTGAAGGGCGCCGGCGGGCTAGGCCTCGGCGGCGCGGCTGCGGCCGTGGTTATGCGGCGGGGCGGGCGGACGTGCCGGGGCACGGTGGGCGAGTGCATGGAGTACTTCGGCGTGGACGGCGAGGGCGAGAGCGAGGTGGCGGCGATGGCCGGCAAGCGGCGGGTGCTGCAGGACGGGTCCGGGTACATCGGCTACGACGCGCTGCGGCGGGACAACGTGCCGTGCTCGCAGCGCGGTGCCTCCTACTACAACTGCCAGCCCGGAGCCGAGGCCAACCCCTACTCCCGCGGATGCAGCGCCATCACCCAGTGCAGGGGCTGATCCCCTTCATTAAACCCTGCTTCATTCCTTCTTACCACCTGCATGCCTCATCAATTAGTATTGCTATCTATCTGTAACGTAATGTAATGTAATGTAATTACAAGAAGAAGATCAAACACTTCTTGACGATGCTTGATCAATCATCACTGGTGGGGGTGGTGTGGTCAATCGTACCGTACGGATCACTGGAGGAGGCGTGGTTAATTATCGTGTCATTTGTGCCTATTTGGGTGAAAGTAATTAAGCTTACGCGTTCTGGTGCATCTGATTTCGGTTGTGCCCAATAAATTTGTAGACTCCTTTGGTACGTACTTCCTTCGTCTCATATTAGTTGTGATACTATTTGCCTCGGTTTAACTATGGTGAATTGAATGTGCTTCTCTGCCATGGTTTTTCTCCATTTTCTTGATTGAGCAGGTGGCAGAGAAGTTTTTTGTGAGCCTGACATGCCAATTCGCGGATGCTTGTCAGAAAAGAAACATCAATATCTCTCGAGTTGAGCTGTCTTTTCTGAATATATTTACCTTTCTCCTTTCTGCCCCCTCCTTGTTTCTGGTTAGCCAATGTTTAATCAGTGCTCTGAATTAGTATTTGTTTTGTGCGCCCAAAGCGATCGGCTTTTGTTTGGTGTTAAGGGGAAAATGACTCTTCTATAGTGTTGTGGCAAAGATCGGTTCAAATGGGTTGGTGAAAGTGGAGCTTCTTTGGCTATACTTAATTTATTCCTTGTACACTTTAACACGATTCATTTGTTAGCACCAACACACAATGTCCATGTGGTTGGGCTGTCACGCTTCATCCTATCTGCAGCACTGCGGCCAATAACTAGAAGGAAGGGATCCATCCCCTTGTGGAATCTTACATTCGCAAGGATATCTAGAAGTGCACAAGCTCAAAAGAGGATATCTAGATATACTAGAAGAACATCCGTGCGTTGCAACGAGGCCACATTAACTTTAAGAGTTCAATATTAATATTCTTATACATATCAAGTGACATTGGCGACCTTTTCTCACCATCAAATTCACACACACACTCTCTCTTCCTCCCTCTTCCTCACTCTCTCCCCTCCTCTCCCTCTCTCTCTCTCTCTCTAACACACACACACATATCCATCTTATTGGGTACGGGACCATAATCCATCTATTTCACACACACACGCTAGTGCATAACAATATGGATTATGTGTATTATATTTGCCACCACAACTGAGGGGATTAATTTCACGTAAATCGGCCAGCCACAGCTCCAAGAATACGCGGAGGAGGTGGCCTGGGTCGGCGTCGGCGCCGTCCGGCGCGGGCCACGGGCCCACTTCCAAGTGCGTCTGCACGCCGGCCACCCACGCCGGGTCCTTCAAGTGCCGCTTCCACCGCACCAACTCCCAGGGCCACGGCCAGGGCTAGGGAAGCCGCCCTTCTTCGCCCTCTTCACCGGCCGCGGCCAACGCGGTGCCGCGGCACCCGGCCTCGACGTCCTCGCGACCCAGTGATGCAGCCCAAGCATCGGCATCGAGAATCAAGAACGCTCGACAATGAAGAGGGAAGGGAAAGATCATATACATGTCATAAGAAAGGTAGTTTATTTACTACTCCCTCGATGTATTGTTTCCTTTGTTTGGAGATTGATTACCATCCGTGAGTTAAGGTAAGGTTAATGTGATTGAGTGATTTTTCTGAAAATCAAATATTTGTTTTTAAATTAATGTGATTGAGTGATTTAAGGTAAGGTTAATTAATTTAGATTTGATCTTTAGAGATTGTTCGTGATTGATTCTACATTACTAAATAACTTGCGTCAGTATGGAAAGTTCTGATCTGTTCAGATTTCTTTCGTTGTGTGAGAGGGTGACGCGAAAATAAACCGATGAAGTGGGGGGACGGGACGAGAAAAATCTACGAAAAAAACCAGCAAAGGTGGGAGGAGTACAAAAAAAACCATGGGAAGTGGGACGAAAATAAACCGTACGAGGCTACCAAGTGCGTCTACGCGCCGGCCACCCACGCCGGGTCCTTCAAGTGCCGCTTCCAACGCACCAACTCCCACGGCCACGGCCAGGGCCAGGGCCAGGGAAGCCGCCCTTCTTCGGCCCCTTCACCGGCCGCGGCCAACGCAGTGCCACGGCACCCGGCCTCGACGTCCTCGCGACCCAGTGACGCAGCCCAAGCATCGGCCTCGAGAATCAAGAACGCTCGACAACGGAGAGGGAAGTAAAGATCATATACATGTCATAAGAAAGAGAGTTTATTTACTGCTCCCTCGATGTATTGTTTCCTTTGTTTGAAGATTGATTACCATCCATGAGTTAAGGTAAGGTTAATGTGATTGAGCGATTTTTCTGAAAATCAAATATTTGTTTTCTAATTAATGTGATTGAGTGATTTAAGGTAAGGTTAATTAATTTAGATTTGATCTTTAGAGATTGCTCGTGATTGATTCTACATTACTAAATAACTTGCGTCAGTATGGAAAGTTTTGATCTGTTCAGATTTCTTTCATTGTGTGAGAGGGTGACGCGATAATAAACCGATGAAGTGGGGAGGAGGGGACGAAAAAAATCTACGAAAAAATGAGATGGAGAGGGGAGGGAACGAGCGAACGAAATGATGTACGTACTTAGACATTATTAAGAGTAGAGAATAATGAGATAATATCCCCTTACAAACTAAGTAGGTATATAAATGCTTTAATAATGAGATTTCTTAAAATCGGTTATTTGTTTCCTAACTAATTAATGTGATTGAGTGATTTACAGTAATTAATTTAGATTTGAACTTTAGAAATTGATCGTGATTGATTCTTTCACTTGCGTCAGTACTCAGTATGGAAAGTTCTGATCCGTTCGGATTTTTTTCATTGTGCGTGAGGGTGATGCGAAACTAAACCGGTGAGGTGGGGGAGTGGACGAAAAAAACAGCAAAATAAAATGGTTGAAAGTGGTGGGACGAAAATAAACCATACGAGACTACCAACTGCTTCATTAGGAGTAGAGACAATCAATGATTAATGTTTTCTTTGGCTAAAGTTGTCTCTAAGACTCAATCAGGGCAGTTCTAACCGAACCCTATCCATTGTTGTTTTTTCTAAAAGGAGGCTTGCCCCCAGCCTCTGCATCTAAGCGATGCATGCAGCCATCTTATTAAAAGTCTCGAAAAAAGCACAAGGTCTTAGATTCATTACAGCTCGCAAGCGGAGCAAAAAATAAAAAATAAAACTCAATACAACATCAGGTATGTATAATAGGACAAGATCCCTAGACTCCTATTCTATTATGAGACCGCCATCCAAACCGGTTGAATATAGCACGTGCTATCATCTCCCACTGGTTGCACCCAGTAACCAAAGGCTCCCTGGAGTCTGTAGGAGTGAGCAAGGACCGCGTATGAATCCATGCTGTTTCTCTGAAAATGACCTGCAAGAAGTTTAAGACGTGTTGTCTGTTAAAAATCATGTCGTTCATGCAGTTCCTTATAGCCCAAATAAGTGTGCATATTTCAATCCAAATACAAGACACAGTAATATGATCTACTCCATCTAACCACGTCCCAAATAACGATTCAATGCTAACTGGAGGAATAGTGTTAAAGGCTATATGAATCATTCGCCAAAGTAATTTCGCCAGAGGGCAATCTATGAATAGGTGTTGTATTGTTTCATCATGAACAGAAAAAACAACATCATGCACTGCCTAACCAATGTCGCTTTAGTAAATTATCCTTGGTGAGGATCACTTGCTTGTGGACAAACCACATAAAAATTTTAATACGCAAGTGAACCTCAACTTTCCAGATATGTATCGATCTCAGGATTGAGCCAGAATTAGTTAGATCCACATACATTGATTTGACCATAAACACATGTTTCTAGCTAGCTTTCAGTGAAACGAATCAGGTTGGTTGGATAGTTGAACCTTCATCAACATCCATACCAAGTGCATCCAGGAGTTCCAGCGCTCCCCAACTAAAGATCGCCTAAACTGGATATTTAAGGGTATCGATTGTAATAATGTGCCCATGTAATCCTTCTAACATTGTACAATATTATATAAGGTGGGATACTGCATGGCTAGAGGTGTCTCCCCTAACCACGTATCCTCCCAAAATTTTGTTGCATTCCATTACCGACCAAGAATTTGACCCTATGGAAGAACAAATCTTTCGTTCTCACAAGCCCTTTCCAGAAAGGCGAATCATTAGGTCTCACGGTCACTTGGGCAACAGTTTTAGATTGGAAGTATTTGTTGCGTAAGATCTGTGCCCATATACCCTCCGTCTCAACTGATAACCTAAACAACCATTTACTCATGAGACATTTGTTTTTAATTACCAGGTTCTTAATACCGAGACCTCCCTGGTCCTTAGGTCGGCAGATGATATCCCATCTAGCCAAGCGATACTTCTTTTTAGCCTCATCTAACTGCCAAAAAGATGAGATCAAAAAAAGTCTAATCTCTTTCGTACCCCTTTGGGTACTTTGAAGAAAGATAATAAGAACATCGGCATACTAGTTAATATTGAATTAATAAGCACTAACCGGCCTTCATACATCATTAGCTTGCCCATCCAGCAGCTAAGCTTTTTCTCAATTCGATCTTCAATGCATTTCCATTCTTTATTCAAAAGTTTGCGATGATGAATCGGTATGCCCAAGTAACTGAATGGCATAGAACCTAATTCACATTCGAACAATTGTCTATATGCATCTTGTTCCTCTTTAGCCATACCAAATCAGAACAATTCTCTCTTGCGTAAATTAATTTTTAGTCCCGACAATTGTTCGAAAAGAAATAACACTAGTTTCATATTCCGGGCCTTTACAATGTCGTGCTCCATGAAAAGAATAGTGTTGTCGGCATACTGCATGATGGTTACTCCCCCATCAACTAGATGTGGGACAAGTCCACCAACTTGGCCGTTCTCCTTGGCCCTATCGATCAGAACGGTCAACATATCAACCACTATATTAAACAGGAGAGGAGACATCGAATCCCCTTGTCTCAA